GGTCTCATCGAAAAAAAGCTTGGTATAAAAAATGCCAAAGACGAACCGATGCAAAGGATTCAGGGTGTTGCGTTTTGTTCGCCTTCGGGCCAAATCGGCATCTCTGTGCAGGGCCTCAATCAGTTCACGAGCACTAACTGGCTTCTTCTTGTGCAGGGCAGTGATCTGAAAATTGAACTTCAAGGAAAGTGGAACGTCGGTCACAAGATGAGAACAGATTTCGTGAAGGAAAAAAGAATGTTATTATGCGCAATGGAAAGTTGGAAGCATTTGGAGTTTATCTACCTCTCGTGATTGCGCTATGCATTCGACTGAGAATCATAGGTGCAGTTATCGATTTCGCTTCCACTAATACTAAACCGATAGTGAGCCGATAAACAGTCAATCTTTCATCCTTCCAAACTCTGCAACTTAGCGTTCCTAGACGTAATGAAAGTATGGTCAGATGAGAGCAACTATTTTATTACTGGAACGATTTGCTACCCTTGGTGGGACTCATCAAGAAAGTCGATCGCTCAAATTACAGCAAGACTCTAGAGTAGGCAATCAAAAAAAAAATTTTATAAATCTATTCGAACTTCTTTAGCTTGACTCTCGACACTTGCCCACTCAACTAACCTGAGATTTTCAAACCCCTTCAAAAAATGCCTACAGTTACGCATATTGAGTGCTTCGTTTTTTTTTCGTCATTCACTCAATTGTATTGTCCTGAATTCATGGAAGTGTGGCAGCGGATTTAATCGCACAAACGGTGGGAATGGGCTCCAAGAGCAGCGATTCAGTCGAAGCGTTAGACCGTTTTAATAAAAACCTCCCCCGGTCAACCGCGAGAGGTACAATAACTAACACAACTTATATGCCAAGGTTGCAAGATGAGAGGAGCGGTAGAATATTCAACCATACTGCTGCTCACCCTCTTGCTTCTACAATGAGAAGAAGTTTCGCTATACCATTCCCTCGTCGCCCCAAAACCTCTCTAAGGATTCGTCAAACTACATAGCACACTACTGTATTCAGAAAGCATGAATAGGGAAAAAAGTAAGGCTCGGTCCCAATAAATCTGAGATGTGGGACATATTCGACTTGTTTGAGAAATCATAGACTGACAAAAATATAAATGAAGTGTTATATTGATGAATGGCCCGGATA